ATATATATATAAATACCTACCCACCCGTTAGTGGAGGCAGGCCAAAAACGCGAGCCTCTATTGTTTCTTTAAGGTTAATATCACCCAAATCAACGATGCTTGGGTCCATTTCAAGTATCATTTCCAAGTCTTTATCAATGCCAACACTAACACGAATGTTCGTTGTTGATTTCTCATTGATTCTTCTCTGAATGCAACTTGATATAACATTAATCTCATCTTGTTCCATTGAATTTGTTGGTTCGACACCGACCTCAATATCAGATACCAATGGTTGTTGCTGCTTCTGTTGTTGTTGTGATTCGTCGCTCGGCGACATCTGCAATGTCTGAACACGTTTTAAGAACTCTTGAAACTCCTGTAGACTTTCCTCCGATGTTTCCTTCGCATGCTCATTTCGTATTGTGCTACTCTCCAATATTTGATCACATATATCAAAATTGTTTTGTGTTTCATCAACAAAACTACTGGAGCCATTATTATTTTTATTACAGACTTTATTCATCGTCTTTTTAGCAAAATAGGAAAACATTTTCTACAGTATTTTAGGTTTTCTGTTTCTTTATTTTACTCAACATCTAAAAGGGCCTTGATCTTGTCGATTGCACGTTCAAATATTAATGCGGAAAATTGAAAGAATCGTTTAACGCGAGAATGTATATATAGCAAGCATTCAATAGTGTACAAATAAGTATACATATGAGATATTTTTATACACACGAGAAATTCCTCTCTGGTTCATCATATTGGCTACAGTATAGACTTGCGCCTTATTGAAAAAAAAAACTCGGTATTTTCTCTTAAATGTCTATTATAATTACCCGGTTCCAAATGAATGAAATGAACGCGATTGCAACATATGTATTTTATTTTTCGAATATAGTTAGTAAGTTAGTAAGTAACTTTGATACACTCTTATATGATCAACATTTTCATCAAAATTGAAAACAGAAATTAATTTGATATTTTGTTCTTGGTTTTATACCCTGGACCCATTTTCAATGGAAAATTGTAATGGTTTTGTGAAAAAGTATGTAACGGGCAGAATAAAGCGTGGCAGACCCCATAAAGTATATATATTCTTGATCAGGGCGACGAGCTGAGACGATATAGTCCTGTCCGTCTGTCCGTCCTTATGACTGCGTCGATCTCAGAAGATACAAAAACTAGACAGCTGAAATTTGGCATGCATAGTCGTGTATACCATACGCAGTACGAGTTTGTATTATTTTTTCGATAAATCATCCTATAACTTTTTTATGGTGAATAATCGAAAAATTGGTTTTGTTTTTTTAGCCTAATTTGAACATTTTTAGAGATGGAGTCTTTAAATTTGCGTTGTATATAAAGTTAATCGATACACAGATTTTGTAATTTACAGATTTTGGATACCACGCCCCCTTCTCC